AAGAACGAAGTATCACTTAAAATGCATTGCTTGGGGTTTTTCTATTTCTGTTTTTTTTTTTTTTTTTTTTTTTTCCTTTTCTTGAAGTTTAATAGATCTTTTAAATCTCTTTACAGACTCAGAACTGACAAATTTAATGATGACGACATCATGGAGTGATCGACTTCAGGACTATGCAGACCTTCCGGCAAACATGGATGGCCTGGCAATGAAGAAATACAGGAGAGAGGCCTACCATAGGTATAACAGAAGAACAGTTTGACTGTATAGTATAATGACTGTGTTTAAAATGAAGTCACTAGGCTACCTCAGAAGGAAATGGCATTTTGAATATTTACACAGATTTCACTTTAATTCTTTCTATTTAGATAAAGAGGCGTTTGTTTGCAATCCACTCATTTTAGAAGAGTCCATTGAGTCTCAGAGTGTATAATAGTTATAATTGGATACTGACCATTTCGTTAGAAAATACTCTATGATTTTTGCATTTTGTGTGCTGCTTTAAGAATTTAAGTGACTCTTTCAAGAAAGGATACTAGTATTTAGACAGCAGCTCCACTGGTAAATTGGGATATTCAGCAAAAATAAAGAGAAAAGCTATCTAATTATAGGCCAAACCCTGCATCTATGGTTCAAACTACATACTGCAAATGGCATACCTCACAAATGTGTTTGTGAGGTGAACTACCATGCAGTGGAGTTATGCAATCTTCAATATACTGTATAAAAGGAGGGTCGTTCGGCTCTTCGCAAAAAACTCTTTAATACACGACGTCCCACTTGTGGCATTATTCCAACCAAAGGTCACGTCTGTAAGTGTAGTTTACTCTTCATACTTAACATGAACTTTGACTTTACATTTCTCCATGCTGAAGTCAAAAGTTCACTGTCTTTTTCCATTACCCAGATAAGTGGACTGAGATAAGGAAAAGTAAAGGTGAGTGTCAAGGCAAGGATTCCACCGTCTGTACAGTCTATTTGAGGTCCAAAGGCAGTGGTGTTATCTGGTGTGTGTGATGTGCAGGGAAAAATTTGTCAACTCTCTGAAACTTAGTGGTGGAGCTGTTGAATATATTACAAAATAGGAATAAGATTACATATTGTAGAATGACTAAATCTGTGACCCTTAGTACAGTTAACGTCTTTTAAAGGTAACTCAGTTCATGCAGCGACCATCTTTGTAACACTCCCAGGCTATTTATATAGGTAATAAGCATACAATAACCTAAAAAAAAACATCCAGGGGCGGATTAAGTTCTACACAGGCCTCTAGGCTCAGGGATTTTCTCAGTGATGCACCGACATTTTGGCAACCATTCTAAAAATATTCCGGATTTCTTTTGTCTGGAATGTTTTGGAATATTTTCAAGCAGTTGCCAAAATTTTGGTGTATCACTTGTTCAAATGTCATCATCTGCATGCCATGCAGGCTAGAATTGCGAAACATTATTGGATAATTCACTCTATTCACGTTTGATGTGAACACAGCATAATGAGCAGGCTGCGATGTCAATATTGCAATGCTGGTGTGTGTGTGTGTGCGTGAGAGAGGCACGGGTGAGATTGAAATGTGTGTGTGTGTGTAAGAGAGAGAGAAACACGCGGGCGCGATCCAACAGTGGAGTAGTGTTGTTTTTGGCGGCCTGTTTTAATTTTAGTTTTAGTCTAGTCTTTGTGTCAAGCTAACATTTTAGTTTTTATTAGTTTTAGTCACGTTCATCCTCTTTTTAGTCTAGTCTAGTTTTAGTCGACGAAAACTGATGACATTTTAGTCTAGTTTTAGTCGATGAAAGACATAGTCTAGTTTTAGTCAATGAAAATTGTATTTTAGTCTTTTTTTAGTAGGTATATACTGTAAGTAGCCTACCCAGTAGTAGGCTAGCCTCGCCTAATATTTTCTTTTAGCCAAACCCATTTCAAACAATCTTATCTTCTTATTATCTTCTTATATTATTGTTACCTTATGACTCAAGAATACATCCATTCCAGACACGGAAGACGCTCTGAATTGAATTTACAACATATTTATTTTACTAACAAAACATTTTAAAAGTAGCCTACACAAATGATGAAATGCAAGTTTTCCCAAATGTCATTTCTTCTTTTTCTCCCAAAGACGAATCCCTTTCTCTGTAACCCTTTGTCAGACTTAACTTAGTTTGTTGTCGTTTATGCAAACGCCTGTTTCACACATACTCCGTTTGCAGTGCGTATTTTTCCCGCACCCATGTTACAGTAATAGATTAGCGCTCATAACACGCGCTCTAGGAGCGGCATGTCATAACAGCAGAGCAGAGATTAACACAGGAGGCCTCAACAACGTGACACAATGGAAGTAGGCTAAAATACTGATTTGAAATAAAAAATTGAGAATAAATGTTGTGATTGTGGTGCAGCCGTAGATCAGTTGCGCACTGCAAACGCAGCACATGTGAAAGCAATAACGCGCGCTGCTCTTGCATACACACTGCAACATGCACCGCATACACTCTACACACGGAGTGTGTGTGAAACAGCTGTAACTCACGCAGCTGCTTCGAATGGGACTTGAGGATCTGAAGTCGCATGCGTTTGCACAGTGCGATCTGATGTAGCCCCTGAAGTGACACAGGAAACAGAAATGCTGCATAATAATAATGCAAGTAGGTTAAACGAGACGAAATAACGTTAAATAACATTTCGTCTCTTCTCGTTTTGGTCAACGAAAATGAAGAGACATTTTAGCATAGTTTTTATTTTTGTAAACCACATTTAGTCTCGTTTTTATTCGTGAACGATATCGCATTATATATTTCATTATAGTCATCGTCACATGACCAGCATTTACGTTGCGTCTCGTTTTCGTCACGTGATAAAAGTTTGTTGACGAAAATATTTAGTCATAATTTTCGTTGACGAAAGCAACACTACAGTGGAGACAGAAAAACATACTCCGTCATTTTGTAAATACAGGACATCACTCAGTCTGCAAAGTGTTTACTCATATTTGTGTAGACCTACTGGCAATAAAACATTTGTGCTTTTGTAACACTGTAAACTCTTGTCAAACTGTAACCTACAACTGACACACACACACACACACACACAGTTTTAAAAGAAAAACCTATTTATCCAACCCCTTTTTAAAACAGTCTGTGGGCACCATCTTTTGGACATTCATGATATCGCATTGGTTTTTATTTCTTGTCCTCAAAACAGAGCACTAATCTGTTTATTTTTAAGTTACACTTTGATTAAAAAAGAAAATCAAATGTGTTGGTATATTTTATACGGAAATCAATTATTTATAATTCTGATGAAAATAAAGTTAGGGTTAATTAAAATGAAGGAAAACAAATATTTTGATCTGAAATTTAGCAAATGAATTTTAATTTCATTTAGGTACAATTACCAAACATATCTCAAGGTCTTTTTTATCTGTTTATTAGTTTAATTAATAAACTAATTAGTAATTATATAAAATTATTATCAGTGCACTTTAAATAAACTGGTTATATGCCTTTATGAATAAAGCTTTGTTTTGCTTTTCACTCCATTGTAACGAAATCGTACCGAACAGTGATGTATGATCCAGCCCTAGTATTGTTGTCATACTATTAAAGGGTTAGTTCACCCAAAAATGAAGATTCTGTCAGTATTTACTCACCCTCATGTTGTTTCAACCCCGTAAGACCTTCGTTCATCTTCGGAACACAAATTAGGATATTTAAGATATTAAGATCGCTCCTGCATACAGTCCATAGGCTTCTTGAGGGACTGGCTCTTGCTGTCCTCGAAAAGTCATTAACGACATTGTTAAAATAGTCCAAGTGACTACAGGGGCTCAATCTTAAGTTTATCAAACGACGAGAACACTTTTGTGCGCAAAAAAACAACAAAAATAACGACTTTATTTCAACTATTCGTTTCTGCGCGAGTCAGGTTACTAGTTTAATAGCGTAAGCTTCTGTTATTGTACGCCACACGCATCACACACACATGACCAGCGTCGGCCAATAGTGAGCCTACGTGTGACGTAGCTCTACGCAATCACACTACGTTAACTGACTTACAGGCCCATGGAGAAGCAAGTGAATAGTTGAAATAAAGTCGTTATTTTTGTTGTTTTTTTGCGCACAAAATTGTTCTCGTCGTTTGATAAATTTAAGATTGAGCCCCTGTAGTCACTTGGACTATTTTAACGATGTCTTTAATGACTTTTCGAGGACAGCAAGAGCCAGTCCCTCAAGAAGCCTATGGACTGTATGCAGGAGCGATCTTAATATCTTAAATATCTTAATTTGTGTTCCGAAGATGAACGAAGGTCTTACGGGGTTGGAACAACATGAGGGTAAGTAAATACTGACAGAATTTTCATTTTTGGGTGAACTAACCCTTTAAGCTAAAGTGGTACCGCTAGACCCGGAGATCGGCTGAATGGTTTCCTAAACGGTAAAACAACAAACAAAAAAAACAATTGTTTTACTCGAGGGAAGGTGGAAAATGATCTTAATTCCCCAAATGGTGGAATATCCCTGTAAAGTTAGCTAGGCTTTTTATCGTTAGCTGAGTGCTCTGCCCTAACTTCTTATGATACAGCTTCTGTGTAAGATACAAACTTCCGGGTTGGCACACAAAGATTTTTGATAAGTATGCTGATTTTTGTTAAGTCACACTCAGAAATGTGTCATTTGCATATTAAAGGCTACAAAAAATCGAGCATGGGGCACATACGAGCCGTGCCACTGTTACCTTTTTTAGATTAGATTAGATTAGATTAGATTAGATTAGATTAGATCAGCCTTTATTTGTCTCACAAGTGAGAAATTTCATCATCAGAAAGTGGATAGTATAGAGTAGAATAATAAGTTAAGATAAATATGTGTATATTTATCTTAACTTATTATATTTACCTTTGAGGAGTTTGCAGGTCTGCATAAACACTGCAGTTTTAGGGAGAAAACACACAGCAATGGTGTTGACTCATAAGAACTCATGACTTGAAAGCATATTAACACCACAAAAACATATAAAACAACATTACAAACTTGATTTTCACCACAGGGGGTCTTTAAAAGCTTTAATTGTCACATGCGCATTCGTTAGTTAGTAAACAAACTCAAAAAGGCGGAACTTCCCATTTTTCAGATGCCATATTTCTCCCTTTCCTTTCTATACAAGTGATCCGCCTCCTCCCCATTATAATGTCTCTGGTACAGTATAAGTAGCCTATTACAGAATAGGGCAACAATGAGGATCCATTTGAGATACAAGGGTAATCTGTTTTCCAGCTGTCTCTAACTAGTGATGCACACTCTGTTGTCTGAGCCGCTGCGCCTACCTGGTTCTTCCTGCTGTTGTTGATTGTTCTAGATGTCTTTGAAGGGAAGCAAACAACACCTAACTCAACAACTGGCACAACAACAGAGAATGCTACAGAACTGGCACAATCATTTTTGCAACAAGTCAGAAATTGAATGACAAGAAAGCAGAGAGAGGGGGCTATTGTTTGAACTGTGGGGGTAACATGGTGAACAGGGAAATGGGCTTGACAGACCAGATAGAGCAGTGGCATCCACTCAGAATGCAGCGCACACCTGCCTTTCCTACCTGGAAAAGTGAATCATGGGATGTGGTCCAATGTTATGCCACCTCAAGGTAGGTTTGATAAAAAAAAACAAAAAAAAAATGAAGAACGATTGGAACCAAACAGTTGTTTGGCACTTTCATAGTAGAAAATAAGTCAATGGTGCCAAAGCTCCAATCGTTCTTCAAAATATCTTCCTTTGTGTTCAGCAGAAGAAAGAAACTCATGCAGGTTTGTTTGAGGTTGAGTAAATGATGACAGAATTTCCATTTTTGGGTGCAGAATCTCTTAAAGTCTCTTTTTTTCTACTATTCAGCTGCTGTGTGACAATTTTTAATTTGTTATTTCATACGCATATCATACTCCAGACGAAGGTCGTGTGACCGAAACGTTGTGTGTGAATAAACTTCATTTTAAATTGCAAGTAACGATAGTGTGCGGGAGTTCCTTATCTGCTTAAACGACTAGCTAGTCTGGTCTTATTATCCGACGCACCTATCACCTGCAGGTGTGCGATGGAGTGTGGTTACTACTTATTTTGTATCATTGAAATTGCTTCTGGATGCATTATAAACTTTAATGCTTTTGTAAAATGATGGATGCAATGGCAGTGTTGTTTTTTGTGATTTATCTTTGTTGGTATCAGATTATGTGCATGCACAGAGAGTAATTCAGAGTTCATATCTTGGCATTAAATATCATGACTTATGGACTAAAGGATAGAGTTGTCAGTGTGCAAAATAAATGCAGATAGTCTTTGCCCCGTCACAGGGAATGAAAGTTTATTTATTGCCTGGAATATCAATACCATACTGTATTGGTTTTTGATATTGCGTCCGAAAGGCATCCCTTTCTCTAAATTGAAATATATGTATTTCATTATATATTTTATTTTATTTTATTTTATTATGAAATGACTTAGCATCTGACTGGAGTTTGTCATAGTCCTGCAGAGATTGGTAGATTGATATAAATCCTTCACTTCTAGAATGTTTGAATAAGGTCCTCAGGTTTTACAGACCTCAATTATTACGAAATTCTGGAAAATCATGGTCTTGTTTTTGAACTATTTTAATTGGTTCATAATCCTTGCAGAATATTGCAAGCAGCACACATACCTCTGACTGTTTCCCCTTCTTCCCCAGAGTGTTCGTGAACAGAAGTCTGGCCATGGAAAAGATTAAATGCTTCGGCTTTGACATGGACTACACTTTAGCAGGTGAGGTGTTTCCTACTTTAATTGATGATCACGAATAATTGTTTACAGTTTAACGTCTGTTTTCATAGATCCGTCCCTATGTTTATGTCTCTCAAATGGATCCAGTAACACTCTTGCTTAGAATCTCTGGGTAAACATACAGTAGGATTCTTGGGTATATTTAGCTACCCCTCGTCTGGATTTGGAATCTGGAAAACTGAGGTGATGTCTCTTATACACAAAGGGCCAGATTTATACTCTTTTGGCGATGAAAAAAACTACTGTCAGCAGGAAGGATTTAGGCGTGGACAGTTATTTTTGTGGCTTACCTTATTGCATATGCATTTAAACCTTATTGCATATGCAAGAGTATTTAAACGATTTACTAAGGTTTAGGGTTGGGAATCGTGAGAAATTTTCCGGTTCCGGTTCCGATTCCGGTTCCGCCAAACGATTCCGGTTCCGGTTCCGGTTCCCATTCAATTAAAAATATTAGTAAGAGAAAAATCCACAATCCTTTTTGTGTTTATTTCTTATAGTACATGACAAATTAAGTTTAACAGACTGGTAATGTAAACAAACTCAAATTATTATTAAGCAATCTTTGCAAAAAAAAATTATATATAAAGGAAATTAAAAAATTCTGCATTCTCTATAATAATTTAGACCTCTCCTTTATTGTATCTCCAACAGTGAAGAATACCCTCTCAGAAGGAATAGTATATGGTTTAACACACATATGTGTGTAGAACAGATTATTTTTTAAAACGGTTTGAATGATTGATTCATAAAGACTTTACTTATTTCATTACTGGATAAATCGGCGCTCTAGCAGTTAATAAACAGAACTGCATGCGTCTTGCGGAAGAACATTGTTGCCGGAGCTACTTCTCTCTGTTTATGTCCATGACGAGTCACGCAGGCATTGGGCTACTCCGCAGCAGCTGCGATCCGCCGGCCAGTCTAAAGAAGTCCGAGTATTAACGCTTATTACAGGCTTTACGTAGTGATTCAAGATAAGACAAAAACACGGTTTGAAAAAAAAACATTATGATGCACTCGCTCATTGTATATATTTTGTAAATTCTGAACACAAAAAATATACGGACTGCATCTGTTTTGACCACTACCGTCAATGTTTACTCAAACTATAATCTCACTAATTCTGTAACGGAAATCATTTGAATATGTGAAACAAATAAATATTGAGACTGTGTGATTGTAAAGCAGTTTCATATCGACAACTGCTCTCTCTCTCTCTCTCAGCGCAAACAGATTTGAATGTAGGCTAGAGAGTGACTCGGCGGTCGGCGCGCGCAGCGTGCGTGTGTCTGTGTGTGACAAATGCAGCGCGTGTGAGAGCAAATCGCAACTTCAGTGGTGAAGTTTTTGTCATTTAGGAATAAGACGGCGTCTTCTACTCCCAGCACTTCGCCCACATGATGATATCGCATCGGCATCAGAACCGTTTTCGGAACCGAAACTTAGGAATTTTTGCACGGTTCCGGTATTTTTTCAAAAACACAACCGGTTCTGGAAAAGAACCGGTTCTCGGTTCCCAACCCTACTAAGGTTTGCGCTCCTCAATCTACTGGTATTTGCACCATTATTTACCACCCCAAAAAAAGCATGTCTTAAACCAGATGCGAACTTGCACTGCTCTTGATGGATTGCGTTGGTCATTATGGAAATGATCCGGCTGCGTCTGTGTTCTTTAATTAATTTGTGCGTCGTCAGTCGATCAAATGCAGAACTTTCCAGTTCCATCTGCGCTTTTTTTGGAATTGTGCTCTCATGCTAATTTGCCCTGTTTAGGAAATCTGGCTTAAAGTCTTCTATTTTCTGTGATCTAAACCATAGTTTGTCTTGTTGGCTCGGGGCTTAGTTTGTTTAAATGACTATCAACATAAACAAGCCAATTATTTACAGCTTAATATATTTCTGTCAGTTAGGTGTTCCAAGAACCTGAAATAAGAGAGGGTTTGGTTTTTATGGTGCAGCAGTTTAACATGGATCAGATGCATTGGGTTTCCGAAATCCCTTTGCTCTCTGTTATTGGTCCCAGGGACTCAGCTGCTGGTGGTGGATAACGTCCTCACTAAATCTGGGCTGAGGGCCATGAGAGAGCAGATCAGTTCTTTGACAGTTCGAATTGATGGCTCTTAAGAGGTGGATAGCGTCTATTGTAGCCAACCGGGTAATGTGGCCTGAGCTGAAGGCTTCTCAGCTGTTGACATCACATTACAGCTGGCTGTAACCAAGTGCAAATGTTTACAAGTACAAACCCTATGTTGTTTCTCATCCTCCGATCAAGTTGCAACCACAGTAACTAACTTTTAATACATCACTCTTGATTGTTAACCAAAACATTTGTAAAAATCGAATCGTATACTCACCCTGATGTCGATCAAAACCTGAATGACTTGATTTATTCGGCTGAACACAAAAGATGATATTTAAAAGAATGAACAGTTTTTTTGTCCATACGATGAAAGTTCTTGCATTCAAAACAACAATGGACCGCGGATTTGGATGGACATAAAAACATGACATTTGAAAAACAAGAAAAACATATTTGGAAAAAATATCTCTGTGTTAAACAAAATAATGAAAGTCATACAAGTTTGGAACAACATAATGGTGAATAATGATGACAGAATTGTCAAAATTCTTTAATTACCAGTCTATCTTTTATTTATTCCATTAATCTTATACTCTCTCAGTGAAAAAAAATAACACTTTTCACTCTTGGTGGAGACAAATTTTCTTTTGGCTCTACAATGGAATATTAATAGACATTAGTATTCATTGTTGATCTCAAATGCAGCTACAAAAAGCATTGTTCCAAACCAACACAATGCTAGATCCAAGCACCGTTTAATATTTCCTGTCGCTTATTGAGTCCATTGCCCAACCAAATCCCTTTTGTGATTGGGACCAGTGTGCAAGATAATACCCTGCACGTGTACAGAGCTGTGGAACAAACTCTCCATCTAAGCTTGGTGTTGACAGCTCTTCAACCTGGCAGTCCGTTAAGTCACAGAGGAAGCCCACCACCTCTGCATTCTTTGTATAGACTAAAGTCTTTTTCACAGGACAGAGAAGTAAAAGCCTGTTTAAATAGCAGAGTATGTTTACTTAAGAACTTTGTTTTAATTAATTTAGTATATGAAAGACACATTCAGTACAGTCTATGCTGTTGTTTAAGAACCTGACAGCAGTCCAAAGTCAACCAGAGGCTAAATGCAGCCAGCACGTGTTAATGAGGGAGAGCTTGATGGACGGACTGAAAGGTTGGGGGAGTTTGTTTATCTTGTACAACAAATAATTGGCATTTTCTTACAAAAGGTAACACAAGCTATGAAATGCTGATCCACCTTTGCAGCATGTGTTATTATAATCTGTCCAGATGTGTATTCAGTGTATGGAGGAAGAAACATGAATCTTCATGGCTTGAGTGTTTGTGTGTGTGTGTGTGTATCTATCTATCTATCTATCTATCTATATATATATATATATATATATATATATACTGTATATATATATATTAAGAGTTTGGTTCCAAAACGCGGTAAACGCCATTTAAAAAAAAAAATGAGTTACTGCAAAAATCTGACTTTTCAAGACCGACCAGATACAAAACAATGTTTAATTTTACGTAAAATGGGATATCCGCCGTGTTATTATGTAATGTTTTCTCCCTTTCTGTCCAAACCGCGACAAACGCCAGTCTCCCTTTTCTGCAAAATGCCACATATCCGCTAAACCAATCACAACGCACCATGTAATGTAAACCAATGCAATGTAAACAGTAACGGAAGCGCTTTAACTAACCCGGCTTCCTAGGTTTTCTCTATTTTGTCCTTTCGATCAACAAACAAACAAAAAAATGAATAATTTTGACAGCATTGGTGAACCTGCAGAGGGTAAGGCATCCTGCATGGGTAAACGTGACATCGAAATCGAATCATTTACGTGAGGAAGAAGATGGACTCGGGAGGAGGAAATGCCGGCTGTTGCTTGTTCTCACACGACAGCATCAAACTTCTGTCACGCTGACACACTGACCCCCAGAGGATCTTTTGGAAAACTTTCAGTTGTTTTATTCAAAGTCAACGAAAACCGAGCAGGACCAAGCCAGTTTACAGCAGTTTACAGCCGTCAAAAAAGTTCAGCGGCGACATCCCAAGGTTGACAACAGCGATATGCATAACGTTAGATCATGCTTAATAAATCATAATTCATGATGATGTGCTCGTCTTAGTTAATGTTTTAATTAAGGTTTTGTTCATCCATGAAGTCATGAATGAAAAACGTTGAACTGTAAAAAAAAACCGTTGTTAGTTCCTGATGATATTAATATGAATTAATGCATAATTCATTTATCCATGAATTCATGATAATTCATGACATGAACCCTTAAAGGAACACTCCGACTTTTTGGGACTTTAGCCTATTCACCTTACCCCTCAGAGTTAGATAAGTCCATACATACCTTTTTCATCTCCGTGCATGCTATAAGTCTGTTTGACGCACCCACCGCTAGCCTAGCTTAGCACAAAGACTGGATGAGAATGGTTGCAGCTTTTATACTAATCCAAATGAGTGACAAAATAACGCAAACGTTTTCCTATTTACATGTTGTGGTTTGTATAGTCACAGAATGTGCAAATATCAAGGCCATATGAGACACAGACATCTTTTGACCGTATAAATACTATATTTTCTGAAGGGGAAGCACTGCTACTTGGGCAGAGTGATAACGATCACCTGAGACGCACCGTGACGAGGAGCAGAGAGTTCGCTTCGCTCAGCGTTGGAATAAAGAGTCAGCAATTACTAACGTTAGATAGAAAAGCAAAGTTTATCATGGGTGTTTGCTTTATTGTATGAGCTGTGACAATAAACAGACCAGGTAATACAGTACCATGTTTCATTGATTTCCAACCAAAAACGCACCCAGATTTATAAATATCACATGAATAAATAATTATTATTACAGGAATCAATATGTTTTAAAT